CAGCTACTCGGGAGGCTGAAGCAGGAGGATTGCTCGAGCTCAGGAGTTTGGGGTTGCTGTGAGCTATGATAACGCCACTGCACTCTAGCCAGGGTGACAGAGTGAGGCTCTATCTCAAAAAAAAAAAAAAAAAATTACAAATTCCTGTATTCCGGAGGCATTTTATTACTTTTGAATTATACAATTCTCTGGGAATGTTGAGATGAAATATTAAAATTATCAGCTTTCAGTTATATAAGATATATAGTTAAACACTGTCTATTACATATTAAGCAAATACTGATTTGTAAAACGTGAGATTTTGCATGCAGTCATAAGACATTCTTTTACCTGCTCGTCTTTTACCTGCTTTTAGTAGCAGTGGGTGATTGGATTAGGAATGACCACATCCAGAGGCTAACTTTAAGTGGAGGATTGAATCATGAGTATAAAATCATTTTACTTTTCCTTGGCACATGTTCATGCTGCTTTGAAACTCCTATTATTCTTCCTTTCTTTGTGTTTTTTTTTTTTCCAGGCAAATGAACATATATTCTTCCTTTCTTGATTTTTTTCTTTCATAGCTTATAAGTTAGTGTTAATTTTGATTTAATGAATTCATTGCTTTGCTAAATGGAACATAGCTTTGGCTAACTTTATGGGTGCTCTTTCTTCCTAAGATTGGCCCTTAGGGGTTCAGTCATGTTTGAATGCTTACTTCCACCTGCCTTTGCAAATTTGACTGGGTTTATATACACTAGCCCTTCCATTCACTTACAGCAAGAATGTGCCTCATATAGGTCAAAGTTCTTAATGGTTTTATACCTAACAATACAACACATATTCTCAAATCTGTTTTAACATTATTTCAGTCAGTAACTCAGTATCATTGAACCATAGTTTTTCAAAGGATAATAACCAGAATTTTCATTAATTATGACTCTCATCATTCCTCCATTATCTACCACAAAAATAATCTTCACCTTTTTCAGGGTCTTTGCAAGGGCTGAGAACTGAGCTATTCTTTTACCTCTTGAAAACAGGGCATATAACACTTATTGTTTTTTTACCATAGAAGTGCAAAATGAATTGAACCACAGCTGCAGTCTTTTTTCTCTAATCTAGGATACCATTGCAAGTATCCTTCACAAGTAAAACCTATCCATGGGAACTGATGAAGCATAAAAATTTTTGTAAACATTGTAAACATTCCCTGGCATTATGGTGATCAAGACTGAAGCCTCATTAAAAGTGAAAATGAAGATAGAAGAATGTATTACTTTTTTTTTTTGAGACAGAGTCTCACTCAGTCGCCCCGGGTAGAGTGCAGTGGCATCATCATCATAGCTCACTGCAAACTCAAACTCCTGAGCTCAAGCAGTCTTCTGCCTTGGCTTCCCAAAGTGCTAGGATTACAGGCATGAGCCACCATGCCTGGCCAGAATGTATTACTTTTTTTCCTCATGATCACAGAGCTATATGCCTAATAAATGCTAAATATTTGATAAGATCAGTGAAAAAGGATTTTTTAACATGTACATACAAATTTAATTAAAAATTTTTTTTTTAATTTCAGAACCTCATTTTGGGAAGTAAAGTCAATTGGGCAGAGGATTCGGGATTTAAGGAAACTGTTCTGCAACTTGAGAAGAATCTCACCACGCTCTGATAAGAATTCTATTTTGATGTATTTCATTTTTGTCTTCAATATGTAATTTAATAGCAAATTCCAAGTGAAATGTATTTTCAGTGTCTTTGGGACTATTCTAAAACTGCACGTTTTTTTAGCTTTAGTTATCATTCTAATATGGAATCTATTATTTTAGATATGAGAGTTAAAGTGACTGGCATACTCTAAAAGAATTTGAAAATCTTAGCCTTGAAGATGGTCCTGAAAGACATCTGATCCAGCTTTCCATTGAATATGGACATTTCTTCTACATTTCTGGCAGTCTCAACTTTTAACTGGAATACTTCTGTGCATTTGTTAACCATAATTTTAGAAAAGCATATCCAAAGGGTTATCTGTAGTGGGATTGGGAACGACCTTTTTCTTTTCTATATTTAGTGTGCATTACTATTTTTTTGTATTAGTTTTATAAGTTAAGAAATAAAAGGAATAAGTGTTACTCTGTCTTATTAATTATAAAATAGAACTTGCCACCTTTTATAGCATGCCATTCTGGTTTTGGAAGATTCTTAATTTGAGCACTTTATTAATTTGGAGCTACTGATCATTTTTACAGATAATGTGTTTTCAACATTCTTTTTAGAGGGACTTTAAACTTGAGAAGATGAACTGCAATGGATAACAGCATTTGAAATCTGTTCTTTAGATTTATAACAGAAATATAAAGATTTTCCTAAACCTGAATTTTGAACACTCTTTCTTTGGAATATTTATAGTTTTACTTCACTTCTGTTGAAAAATCGTAATTTATGTATAGTTTTATTCTTTTTGCAACAGTGTATTCTTGGAAATTTTCTACATAAATAGTTGTAAAGCAAGTTATATTTTTCTTATGGAAAAACATCATTTTATAAAATCCAACCCCACAGCATTAAGTCATAGAGTGAATCCTAACCCAGTGGATTATCAGCATCATCTGGAAAACTTTGCATTTTCCTGGTATCTTTATTGTCTGTGAGTTTCTTCTTAAAGCCTAATTCTGAGAGAGAAATTGTATTAGTCAGCTTTTCTTGAAATCATGCTGAATAATAATCCCAAGTATCAGTGGCTTATAACAAACATTTCTGTCTTGGGTCTGCAGTTCCATTGATCATTCTAGGACTTAGGCTGAGGGAATAGCCACTATCTGAAATACATTCTCTTGGCAGAGGGCAGGTGCTTACAAAACCATTTCAAATTACACAAGCACAAAGTTTATGCTTCAAAAAGGTAGATATTGACCAAGCCCAACATCATTGAGGCAGGAGAGTATATTTCTCCCAAAGCAGGAGAGTGCTGGGTTTCAGAGTCATGGAAAGAATACAATCTACCACAGTCAGCTATTTTGGTCATAAATATTAACTTCCCTTCTGCATGTAAAGGGCACTCACCCCTTCCCAAGGAAGATAACAGTATCACCCAATTATGACATTATTTCAGAATTGAGGATCTCATGATAGTCTTTCATATCAGGTCCAGATGTGGCTCCTCTTGATCTGGAGACCTATGGTCTGAAAAGACAAGTTATAATACCTCACACATCCAGCATACTGCAGTGGAACGCATCTGTAGCAACTCTTAATATGACTTGGCAAATGATAGGAGGTTCCCCTTCCTAGGGGATAGGGAATGCCTCCTGATTAGGCTCTTGTGCTGCTTTCTGGAAGCACTTCTTCATCCATGGTTCCTTCACTCTGCCCTTTGGGAGGTTCTCCTTTTTTCATCATCCACCTTGGCCATATCTCTGAAGAGGGCTTTAGAGAGTATGCCCTTCTGAGCAGCTTTCTCAAACTGGGGACCCAAAGATCTTTTTACATCTTGAATAGTTACAATCTCTTAAGATCTAGGCTAGTGATGGTTTTGTTAACATACTTTTCTCAAATATGTTTTTTGTGGTGAGAGTGGTTTTGGTTGTTTCAATCTGTATGGGGTAGGCAAACTGGCTCACTGGCTCTTTTAATTCTATTGGAACAAAGCCACATCCTTATGTTTACATATTGTCCATGGCTGCCTCCCCACTACCATAGCGTAATTGAATTGCACTGAGTAGTCGCAAGAGAGACCGTATGGCCCCCCTCATTTTTCTTACAAGTCATTGACTTGAAGAATCTAGTTACCCTATAGAATGTTCTCTATCTGATGTTTGATTGCTTCCTAGTAGTTTATGTAGTTTGTTTCATCTCTGTATATTCCTGTAAACTAGAAGTTAGATCTAAATGCTTTATTAAGTGTAGTTCTAAATTTTTAATCAAGAAAATTCACAAGTTGGACTGGGAGCTTTATATTGCATCATATCAGGAGACCATCATGCTGAGTTCTGCCTAATAGATTTACATATAGCCAATGTCAGGAACAGGGTACATGGAACAAGAAGTGTGGAAGGGAGTAAAAAACCAGGTAAGATAAGGACATTAAAAGGACACAATACAAGAGGTAGAATCAGTGGCATGCTCCATGTCCATGAAAACAGCCAAATAATGGCATTGAGGATGTGGACAGAAGTCAGGGGACCTGAGAGGGGTGAGTAATCAAATGATTTGATGATAGCCAGGAGGCTGACCATAGTTGAGGAGCAGGAAATGAAGGTAGTTTGGGGATTGAGGCAGTTTGCTGTCTTAGGTTCAGCAACTTTTATCATAGTCATCCTGAAGAGATTCAGATGGGCCTGGATGAGAATTCGGTGGAAGTAGAATGCTGATACGTAGACATAAACCCACAAGCAGAGAAGAGCCAGAGCATTTTCTTGGCAGACTCCCCCCAAAAAAATCCATACCAATATGACCAGAAATTTGCACTGCATTTGACACTCTCTGACTTTATCATTAGGTAATCCCAGGAGACTTCTTGGTATTAGAGGATTTGGAAAGTTTATCTTAAAAAAGCTGTAAGTCATAGGACTTCTTTGCCCCACTTTCTTCACCTCTGTAATATAGTCATAAAGAAAAGTGAAAAATGTTTCTTTAGAAATTGGCCAAGAAAGTCTAATTGTGTCTTTTTAATGACTTCAGAATAAAAATCTAATCTTATAAAGAACAAAATCTAATCTTATAGATTAGCTATATTAATAGATTTTCATACAGGAAACTTGCCATTTTTGTGTATGTAAACAAAAGACTATACTAAGCTACTGCAGTGTTTGAGCTTTAAAAACACATTAGTCTATCTGGTTTCTGACCCCAACCCAGGTAATATATGGGGCACGAATAGTTGCTGGCACAAGGTGGCATGCCAATTGCTGAAACTCACTGGTGATAGCTTAAGAGAATATTGTGGTGGAGAGTGATGTCTTGGTCAGAGTGATTCAGGCATATGAAAAAGGGGGTTGGGTGGCCAATTCATACAAGGCTAATGGAATTGGCTGATAATGGAACTTACTGATAAGCAAATAAGCACATGAAATAATGGAACACCATGAAATAAACATGAAGATATTCAATTCCATTAGCCATTAGGGAAATGCAAATTAAAATTGCAATGAGCTATCACCACACACCTATTAGAATGGCTAAAATAAAATGACAACACAAAATGCTGGTGAGACTGTGGAGAAATTAGACCACTCATACATTGCTAGTGGGAATGTAAAATGGTACAACCACTCTGAAAAAAAGAATTTAGTAGTTTCTTTAAAAACAAAACATGTAACTACCATATGCCCCCAGAATTGTATTACTGGGTATTTACCCTAGAGAAATAAATACTTGTGTTTACACCTCTACACTAATGTTTATGGCAGCTTTATTTGTAACAGCCCATACTTGAAACAACACAACAGATGTCCTTCAATGGTAAATGTGTAAAACTATGCATCTGTATCATACTGCTCAGCAATAAAAAGGAACAAGTACTGATACATGCTACAGACTGGATAAATCTCCAGGGAATTATGCTGAGTGAAAAAGCCAATCCCAAGGTTACATCATTGGATGGTGCCACTTATCTTTGAAATGACAAAATTACTGAAACGGAGAACAGATTAGTGATTGCCAGAGCTAAGAGGGTTGTAGGGGTGGGAGGAAAGTGGGTGTAGCTATACAAGGCAACAGGAGGGATCCTCCTCGTGGTGTTGGAAATGTTCTGTATCTTGACTGCATCAATGCCAATATCCTGGTTGTGACATTGTACTATAGTTTTGCAAGATGTTACTACTGAAACTATTATAAGACAGGGAACTGGCAGGCACTGCTAAACACAGAGTCAAAAGCCCCTAACCACCCTGAACAAAAACAGGATGTGATGACAGAACAAGGCCAGTGGAAACCAAGATGGCAAGGAAATTGGCTGCTGCGTGACCTTGCAGCTCATTATACCCTAGTTATAATATTATAGCATGCTAAAAGAAACTCCCACCAACACCATGACAGTTCCAGGAGGGACCTTATAAAGAAAAGGGAGAGTTCCCAGTTCTAGGAAATCACCGCCCCTTTCCAGGAAATAACATGAATATTCCTCCCCTACTTAGCCGATAATTAAACTATTATTTAAATAAAAAAGCCAAAAGAAGGGTCGGGCGCGGTGGCTCAGGCCTGTAGTCCTAGCACTCTGGGAGGCCAAAGCAAGAGGATTCTTTCTCACACGAAGCCAAGGACCTAACTGGACTCCCAATGGATCCCAGCATTGGGAACCACTTTCCTGTAACAAAACCAGGGGAAGAGATCCAGGAAATTTCTATTCTTTCCTTTCTTTCTTTGTTAAAGAGACAGGATCTCACTATGTTGCTCAGGCTGGAGTGCCTTAGCTCCAGTGTAATCCGCTCCTGATCAGCACAAGAATTTTGACCTGCTCTGTTTCCAACCTGGTGGTCCCCTGCTCCCAAGAGGTCACCATATTGATGCTGAACTTACTGTGGACACCCAATTGGCATGGCGTGCTACAGCCCAGAACTCCTGGGCTCAAGTGATCCTCCCACCTTAGCCTCCCAAGCAGCTGGACTACAGGTGTGTGCCACCATGCCCAGCAATTTCTATTTTTACAATTGCATGTGAATCTACAATTATCTC